CCAGTCAGTGGTGGGATTTGTCAGTTCGCCAAACTGTGTAAATAGGGCCCCAAAATGGCCTGAAAATGGTCCAGAAAACGCCCTGAAAACAGGCCAAAAAACAGGCCAAAAAACAAGTGGGGGCGGGGCCATCCAGTGGTGGGATTAGCCCCAATTGGCTGAATCCTAATTCTGTCTTTGAGAGGCAAGTGGCTGGGAGGCGGGGCTCGATGTGATGAGTGACATCACCCACCCAGTCACATGACCCCAACCAGCCACGCCTACCCAGCCAGAGAACCGGTTTTTAAGGTGTTCGAATCCCACCACTGGAACCTACCAGGCAAAACCTTTCTTTCCGAGAGTGTTTTTTGGTTTGGCTGTAAGTTTGTTTTGCTTTTGGTTATCTACTTGGTTGTGAGCCAATTACTGGGCTAAGCTTGCAGCTGGGGGTTAGCTGAAAACCTGAAATAGAACAGGTTTGGGGGGAACAGACTGAATAGAGCTCTCTACACCAACCCTGACGTGTGGGTGAGTGGGACCACCACAGGGGGTTGGGCTTAGTCCGCTTGTGACTACGTAGGGTTTCTAGACTAAGCCCTTTTTTCACTCTTCCCCCAGTTTCTGCCAGTCCTTCTGCTACAGCTTGGTATTTTCTCCTACCTTCCACATCAAGACAACCGCCCTCTCTTTGTCAGCAGTGGGGTTTCCTAGTTTCCTCCAGAATGCTGGCCCTCGGGAAGGAACTTCAGCATCAGGCCCAATTCCAGGTAGAAGAAGAAGAAGAGCAAGAAGAAGAAGGAGAAGGAGAAGAAGGAGGAGAAAGGAGCAAATCAATTGCCAGGTTTGTAGAGTGAGAGACATCTCTAGAACTTGTGCCTGTGAACATCTCCATCATGAATGCAAGTTGGTAATTTTGTAGGGGGTGGAGAAAAACCTGGACCATATTCCCTAAGGACAAAGACCAGGAAGGATACACCTGAAGTTCTAGTTAAACTGATTCCTGTGCCGATACACAGGAATCTACATAACTAATAGCACTATTTTGGTGCTGAATACAATCAGTGGAATTCACCATTGGACTTAATTCAGTTATGGCTATGTAAGGATTCTAGGCTGGTTCCTCTTTTGACTCCACCCCTCCTCCTACAAAAGGCTTTAAGATAGGACAATTATATACACATCTTCTAATCCAATCAGCGATGGTGACTTGCAAAAAAATAAAAAAACAGCCAGTTTTCTCTAGGATTCCTAGAGCAGTATATATCTTGTCTTCATAAGGTCTTACAGATAGTCCTCAACTTATGACCATTCCGTTAGTGACTCTTCAAAGTTACAAAGGCAGTGGTGGGATTCAAATGATTTTACCACCCGTTCGGTGGACGTGGCTTGGTGGGGGTGCTCATGCCGGGGCACAGCTTTCCCCACACTAGCTGAGACCTCCAGTGCCAATTAGCTGAGGGGATAAAGAAGAGAAAAGCACAGGGGTCAGTGGGAAGGCCGATCCTGTGCTTTCTCTTCTTTTTCCTCTCGGCTCATTATTGAGGATTTTTTTCCCTCCTCTCAGCCAATTGTTGGCTTTTTTACTACCAGTTCTGCTGAACCGGTCCAAACCGGCAGCATACCACCACTGTACAAAGGCATGGGGAACAGTGACTTACAACTGGTGCTTGCCTTTAAGACCCCTTGTGGCCTCTCTACAATCCCTGTGGTCAAAATTCAGGCACTTGGCAACAGCATCTATTTACGATGGTTGCTGTGATCCAGGTCATGTGATCAGTGACGGTAAGAATTAATTCATGAACCAGTGGAACAGCTTGCCACAGGAAGTTGCGGATGCTCCGTCACGGGGGGGGGTCTTTAAGAAGAGATTGGATAATCATTTGTCTGAAATGGCATAGGGCCTCCTGCTTGAGCAAGGGGGGGTTGGACTAGAAGACCTCCAAGGTCCCTTCCAACTCTGTTCTTCTGACTTTCTCAGCCATCCTCTGGCAAGCAAACTCAATAGAGTGAGATGGGTTCATTAAACGACAGCACCATTCATTTAAAAAAAAATGCAGGGATTTGCCTAACAACACGGGCCAAAAAGTCAATAAAATCAGGGTTGACTCCTTTAACAACTGCCTTGCTTAGCAATGGGAAAATCTGGTCCCAACTGTGGTCGTAAGTGGAGGACTATTTGAAGTTCCTTGCTTGAGACAACATCTTGTTGCACTGCCTAATGAATGTAAGTGCTCCGGTGGAGCTCTCCGAGGTGCTGATTTCACTCCCCGCATTTACGGACATGACTGTGCATCCAGATTGGGTCCTTCTTGATGGCAGCAGCCACCGCGGTGTGCCACATTCTAGGAAAAGCTAAGAGCTTCTTGAAGCTCTCAATGAAATCGCTGGAACGAGCGAGAACAATTCATTCAGCATTTTAAGCGGGAGGATTTCAGAGAAGAATTAATCAGTGGAATGGGTTTGCCACCAGACATTGCGGGTGCTCCATCGCTGGAGGTTTTTAAGAAGAGATTGGACAGCCATTTGTCTGGAATGGTATAGGGTTTTCCTGCTATTCAGCAGGGGGTTGGACTAGAAGACCTCCAAGGTCCCTTCCAACTCTCTTATTCTGTTATTCTTGCCCACCCCACATGTGCCGGCAAAGGAGGCATGCTGTGGGGCCCCCATAGACCAGGGAATCCCACCTGTTGGAGTCCAGCAGAAGGGCCTTCTTTGCCGTTCCACCTGCCCAACTTGGCCCCCAGAATGAAAATATATATATATATATATATTCTTAAGTTTTCGCGGGTACTTACATGTATGGCATTCAGCTTTGTTCGGGTATTTTCCCACGTCATTGTAGTTGTTCTTTTAAAGTTGTAGCAATGTTTCAGCAGAATCTCATCTGCCATCATCAGGCTTCTGTATAGATATA